TCCTTCCTGTGCGGCTTGCCTCTTAAAATTATATGCTTCATATTCAGTAATGCTCAAAGCAATTTGCACAGACACAGATATAAATGTTTCTTCCTCTTCGCACTTAAGAAAAATTAGACTACACACAGTTTAACCACTTTGACACAGTGTGTACCCTGATACAGCATTCTTTTCCTCACTTTTTCTTTCTTCCGAAACCTTTCCTCAGGGAAACAAAATTTGTAATCAGCTTAGTTTTGTTGATGCATCAGACATTTTTAATCAGCAGTATTGAAAGGAGAGCTGCTCAACACTAAATCGCTTGGCAAATGAAGCTCGCTGAAGGAGAAAAACATTGGAAGGAATTGCAAAGTATATATTTGTCTTATTATCTATATATCACAAATATTATAAAGATCCGAAACTTACATTTTCTTTATAGTTTATATGTGTTTAAGAATATAAGAAAGATAACAAAGGAAGAGAAGAATTGATTAAATGCTTCCAATTTGAATAGAGGACTGGTAAATTTGCTTTTCAAATCACAACCACTTTTTTGGATGTTTTTAATTTGTATTTTCCTTTTATATTTTTTCATATGTTTAAAAACTATACTCTTTGAAATTAAAGAGTAATAAGGTCAACAGGTTCCCTCATACCTTTTAATTAAAACTAAAGCAAAATGGTATGATAGGTGTCTTATTTAAATAATTCAATATCATTAATTGCCACAGTCTTTCATTCACATTTTATACAAAACCATCTTTAAGATACTCATTAAGATTAAAATCTAAAGTTTCTGTCTTCCAGGCTTCTTGTCTACACTGTGCCTCATTTATAAACTTATGAAAGGATTTTTAGGACATTTTTACCAAAGGTGCACCTCATGCCAACTAAAATTTGGTAATGATCATCAACCTAATGATCATCTGGTGTGTGTTCTGCTCTCACTTTCTTTATTCACTCTTCTTTCTAGTCTGATCAGCATATCAAGACTTTGAGCGAAGCATTGCTCACATCTCCTGCTTTTTGTATTCAGTATAATATTTCGGGGCTACGTTTCACAAAGTAGGGGAAGCAGAGAGTTAATTCCGTTGCTCTGTACTTGTGACAGTGTAATGACAATAAAACACTGGGGAAAAAAATGTTGCTCATGTTAAACAAAACACAAACAAATCATTCTCATATCCTGTAAACTGAGTTGTGGAATCCTCTTCCTCCTATATATTTGATTCTCTGCGAAAAAGTGCCGATCATTCTTTAATAAGGTCCTCATCAAAAGTAAATGGAATGTTTGTTTTTAAACCCTAATGTGCCTAACGCACCCATTGAATAGTTCAGACTTAGACTTAACATATTTTTATGCACAATGTTAAAAAAATCTCCTTAGTAAATCAGGAAATAAAACAACGTGATTGGTTGTAAGTAGAGCGGAGACAGAGAACACCCCCCGAGTTTACTGAACAAAATCACCGAGCAGTTTAGCTCTGGGGAGAATGTTACTACGGCAAGTAAAACAGAGGTTGAGGAAGCTCTCTTTGTGAAACTCAAGTTTCCTGTATTTCAGGTTTAGAAAACCTAGAGTTTTCAAAAAACCTGCTTCTCGAAACGGACCCCAGATCCTTCCTGCCTACAGCTACCATCACCTACAACAGCAGGCTAAGAAAAACCAAATAATAAAGTAATGGTGTTATTTATCCATAAATCCATTACTGCACTTACTGTACTCGTCACATGGCAATGTTAAGGTAACCAATGGAACCATTGTATTCTCATGCACCCTTCTATCTCTTAACAGGTGTTGTTTCAGAGAGTTACCCCAAGTCCTCAAGAAAATCTGCTCCAACAAGTCAGTTAATGTAAATTCCAAGTCTTTGAAGTCTGGGTAGACTGAAATTTGTGTAGTGTTTCTCTACCCTAACCCTCTACCCCAAGCAATGTGTTATTTTATGTAATTATGGGGAAAATGTGGCTCCTCTTAGGCCCTCCACAACCACTATTGAGCATTTTTTCTATGGATATACTTTACATGCACACTCACAAACAACTACAGGTGCTTGGTTCCAGGTACTCAGAAATTTACTTCCATACAGAAAGCCCACATTCTTACCTTCAGGTAACATCAAGTACATGTCAGATTAAATAATACTACTTCAGCGATAGTTTCAAGGTGTTACTTTATTGTATGTCTTGTACCATGTCTGTTGGTTGTGCTGTTCTTTTTACATCTCGTTGCAGGTGATAAGCAGACTGAAATTTTTTTTTATCATTATCTCCCTTCTATCTCCTCTTTCTTTTATCTTTTCTTCTTTTTTTCCTGTTTTTCCTCTTCCATTCTATTTACATTGCAGTGTCCTTTTAATCAGTAAAACCCCCTGCATAATTATAAAGCATTTTATATGCATGACACAAGCGGAACACTATGGCAATAGCCCTACTGCTCCACTTCTGAAAGTAAAATCTGTTGGCATCAATAGAAAAAAAAAAAAAAAAATTGGCTGCACACTTTGCCAGTGCACTCATCATGATCATCCTCATCAACATATCACACTGTATGTGTTTATCAAGTGTTATCTAACACTAGCCGAAGTTAAAACAAAGTGCTGAACATCTAAACCAATAAAGGGTGATGTCATTATGTTGCCGTTGATGACTTGCTAGATTACCCATTTCATTCACCTGCCTAGCTCGACCCAATTTCTTATTACTGCTCATCTGTTTCACCTGCTCCAGCCTCTATTTAACCTGCTTTTTCCGTTCATCAGTGCCAGATTGTTTCTGCAGTTTGACCAGTAGATGTAGTTGAAAATTATGCAATGGCTTTGACATTTTTGACATGTGCCTGTAAGGGCTAACTACAGGCTGTGGACTTCCTGATAGTAAAGCATTGCAATAGTCCAGCCTTAAAGTAACAAATGCATGGACTAGTACCTCAGCAATATACTATTGATGAAAGAAGAAAATTCTAGAAACCTCTTTGGTAGGATTTGAATGACAAGTCTTAGTCAAAAATAACACCAAGGTTTTCTACTTTATTATCTGAGATTAATTTAATTCCATCCAGATGAAGTAATTAATCAGATTATGTTTCAGAGACTCTGGTCCTAAAACAATAACATATTAAAATTAAACATTTAAGAGTCTTCAAGACATGCCTTTAGTAATCGGTTAGTTTAATGAGAATTTATGGAGTGATATACAGTAGCTGAGAATTATCAGCATAAGAGTGGAAACCCATGCTGTCTCATAATTATACACATATACAATGAATATAATTGGCAATAGCACTGATCTCTGTGGTACTCCAGTTAACCCTTGAGCATCATTTACATAAAGAAATCTATTAGACAAATAACTTTTAAACCAGCCCAGCGCTGTTCCCTAATTCTTACAAAATGTTCAAATCTTTCTGAAAGAATATTGTCATCTGTACCAAATGCAGCGCTCTGATTTAACAGGACAAGCACAGCTACAAGTTAATTAACTGAGGCCATGATAATACCATTAGAGACTTTCACCAGTGCTGTTTCAGTGCTATGATGAGCTCTGACACCTGACTGAAATTTTTCAAAAAGGTCATCATGGAGTTAGTAGTCACACACCTGTTTAGCAACTATTTTATCAGGAATTTTAGAAAGGAAAGGACAATTAGATATGTCAATAATTGACAAAGTCATCTGGGTTGAGAGACAGTTTCTTAAGTAGAAGTTTAAATACAGAAAGCTTGAGGTTCATATCCATGTAACAGGACTAGATTAATCATATCTAGAACAAGAATGGGAATCAGAGAGAATACTTCCTTAAATAATTCGGTTGGAATTGCATCTAACATACAGTACAAGTTGAAGGCTTAGATGAAGATAATAGTCTTACTAACTATGAAAGCTCAATTGGAACAAAACAGTGCAAACCTATTTCTGGTTCTAAAGTTACATCAGATGCTGCCTCACTTTCCAGAGATGAACCAGTTATATTTAGAGGGGAGCCAATTATATAGTTTTTTTATAGAATCAATGTTATTTGTAAAGAATACCATTAAATCATTAATGCTAAAAGCAAGAGGTATAGATGGCTCTGTATGAGTTAGGCATCTATTATGTTGTTTGTCCCATTTTTTAACATTTGTATTTAAAGTGAAGTAATAAAAAGTTATGCATAAAATGGGCAAGAACAAATAACCTTCTTAATGACTATAAAAGACAAAACAGTCAAAGCAAGTTATACAATTTGAACTTATTTTAATAATGACCCACTGCTTTACAATAATACATGGACACATGTAATTTTCTATTGCAAGGTAATTTTTATGTTAATCAGTATGTTAAAGAATTATGTCACTGTTAAAAAAGAAATCCACATCAGTAGGCATTTTTTTAAAAGTCTTTCAGCTCAGCCTGTATTCTGAGTCACAGGACACATTCAGTGAGGAATCTTACCCTCACAAGTTGAGATTTTGAGAAGGAAAGCCTGCATGGCGTATCAACATGCACTAAGTGATGTATATTGACGTAAAAGATTATTTAATGTATCACAATTCAAGCTAATACTTAGGTGAAGACTTACACAGTGTTTCTTCTGTGATCTTTTGCTTATTCAGCCAAGTTAATGATTTACCTTTATGGTCAGAATTAATAAAAATACAGTCTGCATCCAGTTAATGCTAGAGATGTAAGCTTGATGGAGGAAAGCATAAAGTACAGATATACAGTAGTAATTTCCCCACTTTCCTTGATTCACTTTCCTACAATTCATTTTCAAACATCAATCTCTGTAATAAAATATTATTTCTGTCATTATTTTAGGACATTAAGATCTAAAGAGAAGCACCATCTCCTGGTCAGACCCTGTAATTCAGTGAAAAGGTGGAGTCAGAGTTAAAAAAAATATACACGCCCAGGAGAAGGAGGGGGTCACTCCACTGGCTGGAAATTGGAGGGGATTTTGCTGGGAGTTGCAGGGAAGTGGGCTGCCATTCAGAGGGACCATTTTGGATGGCTGCTACTGTAGCAGTTTGTTTCCTGTTTTGTTTGAATGGATGATTTAAGCAGAAACTTGTAATCAACAGTGCAACCAAGGTACAAATAAGCTATAGATTTCAGGCAGTGGTTAGATAATTTGTCAGATATAAAGACATGAACTCAACAGTTGGGAGGTTTCTGAACTCAGTCAAGGGGTTAAACTTATAACTAGTAAAATGAGAAGGAATATCCAATTAGAACTGAGTATAATCCCACTTGCTTTACATGACTGCAGATCATCTGTAAAAGAGAGAGAAGAAGCATTGTAAAGTAATCATTAACAACAATGTTTCATTTACAAGCTTTAATTTCTTCTTTTAGAATAATTTTCAAAACTAAAATTCTTATAGAACCCAAAACTTTGTTAAAAACTATTTACAATACAGGGTGTTTTTATCTTTAACACAAAGCAAAAAAAAATGACTCAAAACAGTTAAAAGAGGCTTATCAAGTTCCATCTACTTAGCTCTTTAGGTGTATTTAAAGTTGCTAGAGATTTTCTTTATGGCTATTTCTAAAAATCAGTGTTTAAATAAATGTAGATATGTTAGTTAATGTCCTCGATTTACTTGCTTTTAGGTCTTCACACTAGCTGATTATTAACCAATAGATAAACTGTCAAAGAAACATGCTGTTTCACAAGTACTAACAGTCAATCATTAACGACAGAACCTTAAGATGACTTGGTATGCAATTTTATAAAAAGATTAAATTAAATGTTCATCATAAAATCATCTATAATGTATATAAGAATGTATACTTCAGAATCTTTAGTCAGTATGTGAAAGGCTATGAAATCAAATTTCAATAAAAGTTAAATAATATACACAGTTCTTTAAAAAAAATCTGTGTTTTTTGATTCACTTAGATGTTTTTCTGCAAATCACTATATTAATCTTAATCTGTCTTATGTTGGGAAAAAAAGCTATTAATAGCAGTGATTAGAAAATATATATATTGGTTAATTTGAGAACTATTCACCGAGTCTGATATTAAGAGTTTCAAGACAAATCAGATCTGCCCAATTTTGTTTTGAGTTGCAGACCTGTAACATATCTCTTTTGGAGGTCTCAGCAAAATGTTAAAAACTAACGATGTAGAATAATAGGCAAACTTGTGTGTCTTACCAGAGGTCTTCTGGATTTGAGGCAGCAATTTGTTCCAGAGATGACATTCTTTAGCTCTCATCATGCTCCTTTGTTCTGGATGATTGTAGTTCAAAGTTATGTACTTCTGACTTTCAGATGTAAACTCCGGCCACGCAGCTCCATCAAGCCCTGGATTCCTGAAAAGTATGAATGAGAAATAAAAAACTATCATTGAGTTGTCTTTTGGTTTCTATAATAACTAAATAAGAGTCTTTTTAGCTTACCCAGTCCGCGCAAAGTTAGCCCAGTGCTTCATAAACTTCTTGGTCATGTTTACTTCATTCTTTGTGTATCCAAGGGAAGCATCCAGAGGCATTCCAAAGACAAATTCTATCTCGTAGCTGTGCATTACTCCCATCCAGTCTGGCCAGGGATTTGTGGATGACATGTGGTCAAAGAAATACAGAAGGGTCTTACCCCCACCTTGTGAGTACCTAAAAAGTCATAAAAAGTTAACAAATATTAAAAACTGCTGAAATATTTTATATTATAATACATAATATAACTGAGATTAAACTGTTGTAAGTCAGTTTACTTGATAATGTTTCCTTGCAGCAAATTTTATTGCTGCAAGGAAAAATATTAATGCATAATTCCAGTTACAATAATTCAGGTGACAATTTTAGTTCACATCAAGACTCAAGCAGCAAATCTGACATTTGAAACCCTTAAGTCTAAAACAGAACTCAAGAACGCAGACCACATCTCACTGATACAACATGCATTATACATTATCTCATGTTACTAAAAAAGTGTTTATTTTTGTTTTCATCTGAGTCGACATCGTCATTCCAAGTCCTCTTAACTCAGTGTCTCACATGTTTAGTAAGTTTCCCTACCTCCGTACACCTGAATTATATAACAAATTATATAAGAAATAAATGAACAATTAACAGACCTCTGCACCTCTGATGGCTGCCAATGGGGGAATGCAATCATTTGTTTCAAGGGTACAAGAGCAAAAACATTTCTAAAACATGCAGATCACAGAGGCTGCAGACAAAATAAGAATTAAAGACCCATGTTTTGGGGTATCATTACAATATTATATTTCCGTTAATTGTGCAGATTTCCGCTAATTAAATCTTGACATTTAAAGAAAGCATATTGGAAACTGGCAATAAGAAATATTACCTTTTAATCTCAAAATTAGGGCCTAATAAAATGTATGTTTAATACATGTTTGAAGGTTCAAGTTTTCAGTAGGTACTTTTTATCTGACAAGCAAGCTACAGCAGAATGCATGATCCAATTGAATAATCATTACTGTATTTGAATGGGTAAATTGGTAAGGAACCTGTACAGGTCAAGTAAGGATATTAATTAAAGAAGCCGCCCATAGAATCACTGGATGACCTGCAAAGGAGAATAATCTGTGATAGCATACACTTGTTCTGTATTGCAGTATTCTGTCACGTCACAAATCTTCAAAACAACACTTTTGGAACTTACTATCCTGCCATTTATATCATATAAACCGTGAAACATACCTCTGAGCAAAGTCAAGCACAGGACAAACAAGCAGCTGATCTCCAACCAGACTACCAAGCGAGTCCCGGTTTTTCATTCCATTGTCCTCATCAGTCCAATCAGTGTAGTGAAAAACAGCTGCTTCTTTAGCGTTATGACTTGCATCCACCATTGCTATTGGTATGCCTTTCAGAAAGTCATTCCTGCTGATTAGACTCTGGCCAGTGAGGCTGAAACCAGGCATTCCATAAAGAAGAAAGTAGGTCCCTTCATCCTTATTTAGACCTATCATCAGGTCCTTCTTTGGAAGATTACTACTGTCAAGCATCACCTACAGTACAGACAAGAAAAGACGAGATTAAAATACTTGGGTATGAATGTTATATAAAGAATTACATGAAATGTTTTTGTTTTGCCAGCCATGAGTTTCTTGACTTAAACACACAGCTGTCAGACATTTTGTTGATATTTTTTTTTTTTATGAAACTGTTTTTTTAATTAAAATTAAGGGGGGAAACTCCTTTAGTTTTGTTACTAAATAGCTAGTAATCTAAAATATGATCCAGTAATTGCATACAGTAAATCATTGTTTCCACCACATCACATACAATGAATTAATGGATTAGTTCTAAAGTTTTAAAGTTAGTTTAAAGCTAGTTTTAAAGTTGTTGTTTTTTTTTTTCAATATAGTAACTTTCAGGTATAAAAAGAACTTCCAGCCTTGCACCCCCTCACAAATTTTTTTTCTTTAGCTTTTTATTTCTTTGTTTTGATTGTAATATTTTTTGGCATCTGGCCATCTCTGGGTACAAATATGTATACAACACATACTTTTTTAGATGGGATATATAAAAAATAAACAAAAACAATAGCACCTACAGTAGGTAAATGAAAGCATCGATTCTAGCTAAATTGATCTTATTTCATCCCTATAAGAACGTATTTTAAACTGTTGCTAGGAAGACAAAAGGCAGTGATCACGTCTGTAACTGGTAAGCACTATAGATAATCAAAAGGGCCTGTCCTACCTAACACAGGATTGTCAAGAAAAACAGTAAAAAAAACGAACTTTACCATGTCATTTCTTTAAGTGAGCGGGTTTTATAGTCAAAATATAGTTCAGCTTGTAAGAACCACCAGTCAAAGCTAAGCCCAGATAATTGAGTTGCAGAGTTAGCCAAACTGATTGGGGAGCTGTTGCCTGCCATGTTTGAGATATAAGCTTCAGCAAGAAAAGTAGCAGTTTATTTGCTTACTACCATAAAATTTCAACAAAAAGTTTGTATTATATTCTTTAAACAAAACCTACAGCACCAGAAAAAATAGAGATAGAAATAGATGGTTATCAAGAGACTTTTGAGCTCTCCTACAAGCCTTGCTTCAAAACGGAATCAGGATGATGAAGTAATCATGATGTTTTTTTTGTTAGTAAGGTTTTTTTTTTTTTTCTTACATAAATAGCTTACTGTATTCATGTCTTCTGAAGGAGGTATTTCCTGGAGTTATGTCCTGTTCCTGCCCTGGTAATTATGAGAGCAACCTTTAAGTAAACAGCTCTGGACTGGGCAACTAAAATGTTCAAAGACCTCCCTGGATAGAGGGGAAAAGCATGAGTGTCAAGTTATTTTCTTTGAAATAATGATGAAACTTGCAGTAAAATTTCCTGATTGTTAGTTTTATCTGTTAAACAAAGATATTTTGAACACTATGTTTATTCTCCTCCCCACACCTACTTCTCCTTTTTGTTTCCGAGTAATTAGTTTCCTTCCACAATTCAAAAGGTTGCTGGTAAATTAATTTGCAAACTCTATAAGAAATTGAAAGCTCTGAACTGACTGATTTTATTATAAAATATATGTTGGATTGTTTCAGGCTTCCGGTTATGTGCTATCTGTAAGTTGTGTGCTTCTTTTGCTAATATTATGGGAAATGTATAGGTTATATGTCCAAAATTCAGGTGCTACTGCTTTTTCTTTTCAACATCAGCAAGTTTCCTCTTATCTCAGTTTTTCCATGAGAGAGGGTGATGGGTTCTTGGATATCCAGTTTTTGCTGGTTTTTAACAGTAGTTGACCAAACCCTTCAAATGGCAACTTGATATAGAACTTATTACAAATCTGGGTATTCTGTTTTTAAAAGGCACAGTATTTATATGTAGCTATTTTCAGTTTTAAACAAAACTATTAACACAGACATATATAATAGAGACTTACTTCAACTTCATCTGGTAAGAACTCCCCATCAACAATTGGGCCAAAAGGTAAGGACAGTAATGAGGGCTGTGGAATAACTTCATATTGCTTGACTGAGATCTTGTGAGGATCAGCTTGTTGCAGACAGGTTTCCAGATGAGCTGAATGATCCGTAGGACAATCTAGCTTTTTTGCTAGCATTAAAGACCTGGTTGGTAGCAGAGGAGGCCAATAAAAAAATTAGAAAAATGGGCACCAAGGGAGTAAGGCACTTTAATGTAAAGCAACTATTTGCAACTGAAGTGGAGGTAGAGAGAGTCGTCACTTTTAAAACATTTGGTTTTTAAAATACAAATAGTGCTCAACAGTCCACCTAGCTGTAAAGTTTCGCTTATGGTTCATGTAAATTTGCTGGACTAAAAATAACTAAAAGTGATTGGGAAAGATTACCATCCTCTCTCATTCCTTACAGTATAAACAAATTATGCAACCATTTTAATGAATTACAAAGATGCTTGCCAGCCAGTTAAGAGCCAGTTTTTTTTTCTGATAATGTGCCTGTATGACACTTGCCCATTTGTCCCATTCTATTTTTTTTAACAAGCAAACAAAAAAAAGATCACAATCCCTCCATTAATCTCTCACAGTGCTAAGGGTTGCCATTTTCACAATATGACTCAAAAGACTCAAAAGTCATGTTAAAAATTAAAATGTGCAACTTTGTTTTTTGGTTAAAAAAAAAAAACAACAAAAATATAGAAGACGCTTAAGATTATTAAGACCAATTGAGATGCTGTGACAGAGTCTTAAATATGTAACTGGCGCTAAAAAAAGAAGAGTGGACAAAATTAAACCCAAGGATGCCATAATCATCACTTACAGTATCAGCATTTTATACAGCAATTGTCATGATTCCTGGGACTATTGCTGGTCTGATTCAACACATTAGTTCCCATGCTCAACTAACTATATCACCAGCTCTCAGACCAATCACTAGTGCAAGAATATTATGATCCACCTGTGAGTTTTATGCAGCATTCTGTTCCCTCCTGTCTGCCTGCATGATTCTGAGTTTATTCTGCCCCTGATTCTCTGAGCCTGCCTGAACCCTATTGGACCTATCATAGTGTGTTTTTGGATCGCTGACCTGTTTTGTGTGCCCTGACCACTCTCTTGGTTTTTTCCTTGCATTGTCTCTGGATCTCAGATCACCTGGCTTTGATTCTAGACCAGCTATCGAATTCTGAACTCTGGTTTGCCCCCTTGATCATTCTGCCTGTGCCTGCTCTCTGATCTGATCCTGTGCATTTCCCTGGACCAACAATTAGCTATCAAAGAAGGGTTCCTCAAAATCAGCTGGACAGATTCTGGAATCCTCTGAGGGTTCTCCAGTGATGTCACACGCCAACCGGCATCTTTGGAAATACTCAAACTTTGTTCTCAAACCCTGAGAATGTTAGTGATAATTCAACAAAAAAGATTTCTCCCCCTGTTTCTGTCTGGTAAACTGGTCAGTTTCCTTCAAGGTTTCTTGTTGCTGTTTCTGGTGAATCCCTTTTGACCTGTGGGAGTTTCACAGTCCAGTAAAACTTTTAAACGACCCTTGTTGTTCTGTTTGAATCAAGCTTGATTTTAAAGCAAACATTTCAGGGTAACAAAAAAACCACAAAAAAAAAAGGAAATTAAGTTTTAAGCAGGTTGGAAACTTTATTTCAAGCCTATTTATTCTGTATTCAAGATGCTATTTTTTTTTTTTTTTGACAACCACTGCGCTTTATAGGGCTGGCTTTCTGGAAACCAAATTAATATGCATTCTCATTCATTCTTTATTTCTATCTTTCATTCAAAGCCAGGTGTCATACCTTACAACCTGATCAAGATGGCTTATCAGCATTAGACTACTTTAATGCTGACTATTTTATATCCATATGACATTTTAATAGGTAACAATAACAGTTCACTGAAATTCAGGTAATTTTCTATCTGGAGTAGCCTAGATAATATGACTTAATACATAAATCGCAATACCTGTCCCAGGCTTCCCACTGGCTTATTTTGGCCCATGGTGCATTAGGGGAGCCACTCTGCATCACAGCCCTTTGAAAGAGGCTGTGGCTGCCTGGAGAGAGCAGGTGGAAACCCACTGACGCGGACCCTGCACTTTCACCAAATATTGTTACCTGGAAACATGAATACACAAGATTAGTTTAACAGTTTACACAATGTTTCCCTCATACTTTAGAAACAATAATGGCAAAATAATTTTACCTTGGAAGGATCACCTCCAAATGCAGCAATGTTACTGGCTACCCATTTGAGTGCCAAACGCTGATCTAGTAGGCCTGCATTTCCCCGTAAGTATTTGTTGTCTGGAAGACTCAAAAAGCCAAATGCTCCCACTCTATAAATAATGATCACAATAATAAAAAGTCTTAAAAACATTCAACAAACATATTGATTTGTTACTTTAAACACAATGTTGCTGCTACTTTTGGCTTTTACACGGACTGTTGATCATTTTTACTGATAAAGCAATGTGAGGGAAACCTTTTTGAAAATGTATTGCTAAAAAGACAATTATGTCCAAAAAGATTGGTGCAAACATGAAAAATGTATCAGAATTCAAATTGAAAAAGGGGATTAAAGAAAGCCAATGATGAATATGTGACTATAGATGTTAATTCTATCTTTATCTAAGATGGCGCCATGGACGGCTGACTGAGTGTGTTGGTACTCTTTGGTTTTGTTTTACAATTTAACTCTGGTTTTAGCGATGATTCCTGGACCCCTTTCATCTCCAGACCTCCTGTTTTACATTTACACACAGTTCAAAAGTCTAATGTGTATATATTATATGGCTATATACTATCATTGGATATGGTTTAATGTATGCTTTATATTGTATATAGCTATAGATTATATATATATATATATATATATATATATATATATATATAATTTGTCTGTACCATCAACACCAAGTGTAATTCCTCGTACCGTTTGTTATCTAATTCTTGCTCTCAAGTTAAAGTTTAACTTTTAAAACTGAATGTTTAAGTGGCAGACATAAAATGTGAGATAAACAGTTAAGCAGTGACGTGCGGTCAGGGGAGGCAGGTGAGGCAGTGCCTCACCAGCCATCATGGAAAGAAAGAAAATATATAATCATAAAGTAATTTAAATTGTTATATTCATCCGGTGGTTTGTACTAAAAAATATTCATTTTTCATGTAGCTTCACCAATTTCGATTTTTATTTGTTCAAAATCGCTGAATTTTCTTATTTTCCCATTCAAATGCTTGGAAGCGATGCTGGTGAGGCAGCAGCGAGCTCTGCCTCACCTTGGATTGCGCAACCCCTGGCTCTGCGCTGGCTGCAAAGCGGAGAGAGCATGTTGCTGTACGGCGTCAATAAAATGGTTTAAACAAATGTAATATGTGAACTTATTTCTAATAATTTGGCTTATGTATATAATGTACAGAGCTTTTTGTCACCAACTGTGTTTGTGTAACGTGTTTCGTGTAATGAGCGATTATAAACGGCAGAGAACAAGTTCGAGGTGAGGCAGGCAGTTCTCTTGCCTCATGGCAGGGGGTGCTCAAGAGACTGAAAACATAAGGCAGGAACAGGACGGATCAAGGAAGGCTTTCTTCCCTGGCAGTGATCTCCATTGAGACAGAGAGACTTTTAAAACTGAAGGAAGATAAGGAGGACTTCTATTCATTTATAAGTAAAGGTAAGACAGTAATAACATTTATTTTGTTTTGTTTTTTAAGGAAATGTGTGTTTTGTGAGCTACAGTTTGTATGTGTAAGGATGCAGAAGTGAAACATAACCTGTAAACTGCTGTCAATCTATGCATCTATTTGCAAATCTGATTCTGATGACGTCAGTGCCTCACCAGCTATGAACCTCACCGCACGTCACTGCAGTTAAGCAAGGTCAAACAAATGAATTGCCTTTTTCTCGGAAGCAATGTTTCCTCTATTCTAGACTTCTGTCTTGTTTTTTTTTAGGTGACTCCCATGTTTGAACTAATGAGTCATTGGACTGCAGTTCTGGAAAACTGGATTTTGCTAAGATAATGTCTTCCCTAGATGCAATTGTTTTTTTCTGAGTAAAAACACATCAAAAATCCAAAAGTGTCACAATGACTATGATTGGATAACATTAATAATTTCAGCTGAAAGTAATTCTAACCTATAGTTCATCGATACAACAACAACACCTTCAGCTTTACTCAGGAAGTGGGCTTGGTACAAATCCAGGGTGGATGTTCCAGTGACAAAGCCACCACCATAGATCCAAACTAATACAGGAGCAAGGGTCGACGACTGGGTATTGTTGAAATTAGGCGACCATACATTTAAGTACAGACAATCCTCACTCAGGGGTGTGTTTGGATTCCATATCTCTGCACCTATGAACCCTGCAAAAGAAAAAAAAACAACAATATTGTTAACCAGACAAGCTAACAGCTTTGTCTGGACACAGGATAAGATTATCTGAGATAAGTCCCTTCCCCTGAAAGCCTGTACACTGATATGAAATTGTTAATATTTACCTTTGCGAGAAATAAATGATGTCTTGTAAAAATGTACTATTGCCTTCTTTCTCCCAGTAATTCCACATCTCCCAACCTACCTTGACATTTTTTCTTTATTCTTGTTCAAATCATATTTTAAGATCATCTTTATTCTAACAGGGGCACAAGTTGGCAAATTAAATAACTGATTAAGCCATTACCTTTTTTAACTGTTATATGTGATTGTGCATAAAAATAAAATATTTCATTTTCTCAGTTTATTACCTGAACAATCAACCATAGTAATCCAATCCTAATCTGAATGAATTATATGGTAATATTAGGACCTTGTCAAGGTTATAGAAAGACAAAAACACCCAACATCTCTATTCGTAGTCCACTTGCAAAGGGAGTGAATGCACAAGAGGAGCTTCCTGCTTGGAACCATAGAGGTAACCATGTTACAATGTGATTCACTAGTCGAAAGCCGAATTTAAACATGTATTCTTGTGTTTTTATTGATAATTATTGTTATATTAATCCGTATGTCCTCAGAGCCAGTTTCCCAAGGACCTCCTGAAGGAGGTGTCCAGACAAGCCCCACCAGAAGGAGACCCATGGGACGACTCCGGACACGCTGGAGAGAATATGTCTCTCGGCTGGACTGGGAGCACCTAAGGATTCCCCAGCAAAGCTGGAGGAAGTGTCTGTGGAGAGGGAAGCTTGTGAGACTCTACTGAGACCGCTGCCCCAGCAACCTGGTCCCAGAGAAAGCTAGAGACGACGAGTACGGGTATTATCCCATACTTTAGTAACTTTGTTTGGGTAAATCTAAAGTCAGAAGGACTTTTAGATAACACATGTCACATGCAAACAATCCTTGAGTGAAATATTATGCTCTTGGGTCTTATAAGGTTTATTTGCTAAATTTATTCTATTTTTAAAGACGCAACTGAAACAAAGTGTTAATTTATTGTTCTTACATGTTGTAATCTTACAGTCACAAATGTCAACAAATTGTTTTGTATAGACTAGCTCATCACAGTGAAGTGGTATAAAAAAACGTAAGTTTTTTTGGAGATTCACTAAAAAATAAAAATGTAAAATAGAGGATGGAATTTTGCTCAGCTCTTTGACTCAGTCTCATCTTCTGCAACCTCAACCACACATCTTGAGGGATAGGTCTCTAAAAGCTTTGCATATTGAGAGATACTTCTTTTTTTAAAGTTTGCCCTAACACTTTGTAGTTTAGTTTAAGAATTACAGGGTGAATGCATTTTTTAAGAGGGAGAGTGATAAATGTGGTTAGGGGTTTTAAAATTGTACATTTAAGATTTTATCCACTGCAGTTGTATCAAATTCAGAATTTATTGTTTGCTTCAGCTTAATCAACTTCTTATATCTGAGCCCCTACATTTCCCTCTACATTTTCAACAGGGGAAGACCTTGTAGATCTGTTATTTGTAATAACCTATGTTTCTGAAATATAAATTAAAGAACACCAACTACTGCAATAATGCCAGAATTTTTGCTGAGAAATGTAACCTAGGGTTCAATATAAACAAAGGCGGTTCAATGAAACTTATTTCTACAATAGGTATCTTGATTTGTGTATATAGGAGTCATACCTGGATAGGTTGTATCTGGCAACTGGTAGCAGGAGTTAGGTAATTCCTTGGCCTCTTTCACACCTTCCCATTTCTCTACTGGCTCTGGTGCTCGGAATCTCAGTTTTCCAAGAGGCGGCTTTGCATATGGAATCCCAAGGAATGCTCGAACTTCGCCATTTGGAACAGACAAGAGCTTTCCTTGGACTTTCCCATGTGTAGTGCTGATTACAAGGTTATCTTGAGAGGCAAATGTTGCAGTCAGAATGGAAAACAGCAAAATCCAAATTGGAAACATTTGTATTCCAAAAGGTTATAGGAAATCTTGGAAGGACAAAGCAAGAAACAAGAAGACTTTATTATACATTCAAGGATTAACATTTTACAAATTAAAAGTAGGCTATTTACATTGATTAAAAAGTCAAAGAAATACTGGTAATATATATATATATATATATATATATATATATATATATATATATATATATATATATATATATATATATATATATATTGCAGTCACACTACAACAGAGGTGTTAAGTAACAAAACAAAAATACTTCATTACTGTACTTAAGTACGCTTTTTAAGTATCTACACTTTACTCCATTACTTATTTTTCTTTCTACTTCTGACTTCTACTCATTACATTTTCACACAAGTATCTGTACTTTCTATTCCTTACATTTTAAAACAAACGTTATTCCTTACTCTTGGCTTTGGTTTAATGTTTATAAATATTTAATTCACGTCATGTGCGCCATCCAATGCAGGTCATCCATATCTAGTAAAAAACTTGTGTAATTGGATGAGTCATGTAATGCAAACATTTATTGTTTAGCTAAAGGAAATCATCAGAAGCAAGCAGATCTTGGAACTGCAAACGCAAATCGTCTATGTCATGCTACAATGTCGGATTCAGAAACAGATGTCGAAATGTTTGAAAGGTGGAGACGGAGACCAACAAGACCTCCCTCATCCTTGGCCCTATCTCAAAGAATATTTCGAAAAGTCAAAAAAGTGAGCTTTCAATTCATATAGTGACATCTGTTTTTTTGTTTGTTTGTTTATTTTTTTAAGGTTATTTAATACGTTTATACTTTAAGTAGTTTTTGGAGCACATACTTTTTCACTTTTGCTTAAGTAAAGAGGTCAAGTTGATACTTCAACTTTTACCAGAGTGTTCTTAAACTGCAGTATCTACACTAATACTTAAGTAACAAATGTGTGTACTTTTGACACCACTGCACTACAATATTTACCTCAAATACAAACCATTATGCTTTGCATCCCATATAATCAGCACACTGTAAACACTTGTAACTTGGTTTTGAGTAAATGATATTTAATTTTATGGTCTTTTTTTGTACATTAAACAGCTTGCTTTCACTGCCTTCTCGTCCTGCGCAGACAGGGCAGTCTCTCTCTGCGCGCAGTCGATCGCACGCGGCCTGCGTAAAACAGACACATCCGACAGAGATGATCAAACCTGCAGCGCGCTGCTACGTCTACTTCATCTATAATCCGATAGGGGATAATCCCGAGTTCGCGATTAATATTACTGTGCAAGTCACAGGGCTTGCACGAGCTTTTTACATCATGAAAGAGGGAAGTAAAATGAAAAAAACCTATAAAAACCGCGAACAGATGTTCAGACTAAAGAAATAAACGACCAGAAAAACACAAATCGTTTATTTATATAAAGTTTCAGCCATGCCTTACCTTGTCAGTCAGGTAGTTATTAGTTTGTGACTGGAGTGAGTCAATACACAGGCTTAATAAAATGAGGGAGGCGTTTACACCCTCTGTCCAATCCTGCCCCCTTTCCCAGTACACCCCCCATAAATAACTACAAAATCTGCAGCCACGCTTTTAGACACAGTAAATATAAGTTTTGAATTAACCCTGTATGACCTATTATTACTGGGACAAGTATTTATCTTTTCCAAATGAAAAAAAAAATAAATAAATAATATATATATATATATATATATATATATATATATATATATATATATATATATATATATATATATATATATATATATATATATATATATATATATATATAAACCAATAAATAATAAAATAACAAATTAATTTCAAGTTATCAATAAATTGCCCATTTACCATCAATGTAATCCAACAGAACTTTATAGTATAAACACACACAATTTATACTTACCTATAATCAGTTTAAACCTACCCTAGACTACTTTCTTTTAAAATCGCAAAAGGAGCTGATATCCTAATTGTATTTGTCATAAAATTTCAGTATGTTTGACTCTGCAACTGCATCAGCGGGTTAACCTAAAATATTGTGAAATTCCCTTGAAAGACATCCAAGGAAAAAGGAAACGTTCAATTAGTTGTTAGCAAATGGTCAATTTCCTGTTTCCTGCCTAAATCTATTGTTTTGGTACCAGCTAATCTGTGCTTACTTTTTGGGCAGCATGTTACTTATCTATGATGTTGTTTTTAGCTGAATTCTGACGAAGATTTTCTGTCATCCAGGTCATAGTCATTCCGTAAAAGTTTAAAAACAATCCACTGGAATTGGTTTCCAAGATTTGAAGACATTCTTCTTCCCCTCCAGGAGGCTTTCTCAATTCAAATGTCTGGATCCGCGGTGAGCTTGAGGCTTTATATGGACAAGGCCCTGTATTGCTTGGAAACATGCACATTGAAACTGACCAGAGGGTCGTTTGGTTCCATTGTTAGGCTGTAATATCTGAAACCTGTCTATTTTAGCCAAATAAAAATGTGCAAAAATCCAAGAAAACATTGCACATTTTGCTCATCTGCACAGACAGAAGAAAAACATTTTTTCCCAATTTGTGAGATAAGAAACATATTGATGATCCTTAACAGATTTGAGAAATATTTTCTTTTTATTTACAAGGTGGTAAAATAACACAAACAGCACCTGTAGTTGAACATAGTAGTGTAATGGGATAATCCCCTGCTTCTTTGCTGCTTCTAAATTTGGATTACTGGGATCTATATATTCTGAATGTCCAGCAACCCATTTCTGACACTAAACTGAAGCACACTCTGATCATCAGTAGAAAAGTTACACAGAGTACAGCAGCAAATCCACTTCTGATTGACTTAGAGCAACACTGTGTAACTTTGAGATACTAGGGTCACAACACATGTAACTACCAGGTTTAGTGCGCCTGAAGGCAACTACTAACTACGGAAGAGGATTAGGGCCAGTGGGAAAAAAAAAAAAAAAAAAGTTAACTGATTTTAAAATTTTATTTCAGTTTAGTATGGGAAAAAAGTCAGAATTCTGACTTTAATCTCAGAATTCAAACTTTTTTCTCAGAATTCTGACTTTTTTATTGTCAGAATTCAGTCAGAATTGTCAGAAAATTAAACAGTCTCCCTATGTGTTTTTGGTATTAGAATTTTTTTTATATCTGATAGCAGACCACTTTCATCCAGCAAATTGGGAGAACTTCTAGATATGTGTAAAGAAAAAAGCCACATTCACCCCTCCAGATTTAATCCTATATCAGAGTACCACATATTTCTCTGATCAGGACAGTATTATATATCTTTTGTTAGTTAACAACAACATTAAAACTTAACCTACAACGTGAATGCCAATGTGGCTGCTAATGGCCCTGCTGCAGTTCCATTTGCAGAGACTGAGGTTAAGAGAAAGGAAGTTCAAATGAGTGAACTTGGAGTTTTAGAGAGGGTAACCAACAGTCCCTTGAAAAAGGAACTGTCCCATATTTAAAAACAAAAGTTTGTGTCAATTTAGATTCAAGTTTGATTCACATATTTACAAACTTATTTCACACACAGAAGAAAAGGATAAAAAAAATGTTTAAGTCAATAGGGTGACTTGATAAACAATAGGGTCTTTATTTTGTATCTTTTGTTCTGTATTTCCACTGCAACCTTTATCATTGTTTCATATTTATTCTCACAAACATTTTTAAAACATGTTTTTAGTTTTCTTTCATACTGATTTACTGATTTACTAGCCGAGCATGCGGTGACATCACAAGTATGCTTCTGTTCCAATTGACCAATATTTTATTTATGCTGCCTGCTCCCATTCTCCCCAAGTCCACACATTCCTGTATTCTTCTCAAGAACAAACTTGGTGAGGACACAAATCTATACTCGTGTTCTTATGAATTGAGAAACGGCCGGTGACTTCAGACTCGACTTCAGACTCTCCTCTCCTCCTGTAGATTCGACCAATGCAGTAGAATGCTAACCAACCAATGAAGAAGTTTACCCTCTAAGACACAGCCCTTCCACATTTGCATAATAAGGCAGAAATGCATACAGAAATGTAAAACGAAAGGCAGAAATAAATAGGTTAAAATAATACAAAGGAAGAATAAAACAGACAAAGACATGCACATAAATAAATACTTAAAAAAATAAGTAATTAATAAATAGTTGAAGATTATAACGGATAATAAATAAATAAGGTAATTATTACAAAGGCGAATAAATAAAGCACCTAATTAAAAGAGATTTATAAATTTATGTCTCACTTATTTGTTTATTGTATTTTTGGGTGCAATTAATTGTATACTTATTTATTTATTGAGCATTTATTTATTTGGTTATGTATTTACTTTTAAATATGGTAGAGCTGATCCTCCATAACATATTAAACAAAATTAATGTCTAAATATTCTTTCTGCTTTATGAATATGGAAATGCAGTAGAGTGAGGCAATATTTTGACCCTTTCCTCCGCTTGCTTTTTTCATCCTTAAATGTTTCAGATTAACAAATAAATTTAAAATCACACAAGGTTAACCTCAATTAATACAAAATTCTGGTTTCAAAGGAATGTTTCATTTATAGGGGGGTATTTAAACTATTCTGACCTCATGACTACAATAAGTACCTTGGGGCAAGTTCTCTTTTTGTTAAAGCAAGAGTTACTATAGGAGTGGTTAAAAACATGTCTTGTTTGGTACCAGGATACGGGCTAAAATATTTCAAAAGCAGGGGTAGAGTAGTGACAAAGTGAAATACATCTATTTAGAAAAAAGCCACAAAGTCATTGCAAGGTCATAGAACTCAAATGTTAAGAAAGTAATTTAAAAAAATGGAGAAAGCATGAATCAGTAATGAATCCTCCAAGAAACGGCTAGCCTTCCAATTAGACCAAAACAAAAAAGCACTCTACAGCTGAGGTACTGTAAACACCATAAAACGGTCATGGCCCAAGTTGGGCGAGTGTTTGCCTAGTGGTTAGGGCATTGCGCTTGGAAGGTTCTGAGTTCAAGCCCCACTCCCACGGACTGCCATTTTGGATTCCTGAGCAAAAACCCTTAACCCCTGAATACTCATTGGGTGACATGCAAAGGCAGCACACTGCTCCCCAAAGGATGGGTCAAAATGCAGAGAATGAATTTCCCCTTTTTGGGACAATAAATTAATTTACAAAATATTATTATTATTTTCCAGGACTTAAGGACTTATAATTTCTTATGTCACACATTTCGAGAGCAGCATAACCATTCCACAACAAAACTGTAAGTAAATCTCTGAATGGCCGTAAAAAACAAAAGCAAAATACATGTTTATGAGTTGCCCAAGACAAGTTAGATTCATAACTAATTGACTGATATAACACAACATTAAAAGACCCGTTGAAGTAATGTAAATCCCTTTATTGGCCAATAATGGAGAAATTCACTCTCTGGCAATCCCCATGGGGAGCAGTGGGCTGCCATTGTGTGGCGCCTGGGAAGCAATGTGGGGTTGAGAGTTTTGCTCAGGAACCCAGAGTGCAGGCTGTAGAGCTCGAATCGGGTACTTGCAACCTTCTCAGAGCACAGGCACAATGCTCGAGCTACTACCCCAACACTCCCCAACAGCTAGAAAAAACATAAATGTGTAAGGAACCTAAAAAGAAAAATCGGGCAAAAACACAGAGAAACTTGGCCAAGATCGTCACAGAGTGAGTCTTTTTGCCAGTAAGCACAAATGCTCGACAGACATTGCTGCTAAGGATAGCACCATTGGCAATGCGTTGTTACATCACCTATATAGTCAAAGCATCACTAAAAACTGTAATTTGAATTCACACATTTTATCATAGATACTAGTGAAATTTGATGTACAAGATTTTAAAGTTTGGTATAGTTATCAGGAAGTACTCTAACTGCCACATAGAAATGACGTCAAAGCCAAGACTGACTGCAAACTTTTCTGTGAACACAATAGCATTTATACGTGTTCTAGAGGGAAAGGTACTCCTTCTTTCCTATCACTTCACAGTTGTACAGGGCATTGTGTTGTAAACACTTACAAGTCACTTGGGAATATAACTTTTGGGGGTTGCAACACTTAAACAATGATGTAAAAAAATATATTAAAGTGGCATAAACACCTTTGGAAAACATTGTGGAAGGACTCTTGAAGAGTAAAACATTTATGGACATTTACCAACAGCTGCACAAAAGACATGAGACGAATATTAGTGCAACTACCTTTCATCTAGGGAACTTAAGTTTGGCTTCTCACAGATTAAGGAACACGTAGGAAGACTGTTTTGTGTCCCTTGTCTTAAAGGAATAGTACACCCAAAACATGATTAGCCTTCATTTTCTACTCACCCCCATGCTGAACAACACCCTGGAGTACTTTTTTGATATCTCAAATGCATCTGGAGATCTGGGAGGCTTCTTGCTGTCTGCTGACATTCAAATAATGGAGGTCTATGGTGCCCTAGACAGAAAGGTCCATAAAAGTCCACAAAAAACGTGTCAATATTCCTCCATACTGCTCGTCCAATGTATTCCAAGTGTCCTGAGTGGGTAGCATCCAGAATTTACTTGAA